AAGGTAACTTTCCTCGGTCACGTGGTTAGCGAGGAAGGCATACACGTGGACCCTTCCAAAATTATGGCGATTGAGAATTGGTCAGCACTGAAGACACCCACAAAAATCCATCAATTCTTGGGTCTCGCTAGCTACTATCGCAGGTTTATCCAGAACTTCTATAGGATTACCAAGCCTCTAACCACCCTAACTACCCTTTAGTGCGGAGAAAAGCAAGATACTGCATTTCAAACATTGAAGCAGGCCTTATGCAGCGCGCCTATCCTGTCTATGCCAGAAGGGAGGGAGGAATTTGTTGTCTACTATGATGCATCCAGTCAGGGCCTAGGCTGTATGCTCATGCAGCGGGGGAAAGTCATTGCTTATGCCTCAAGACAACTGAAAGCACACGAAGTCAAATATACAACTCACGACCTGGAGTTGGGAGTAGTGGTCTTCACATTAAAGATATGGAGACATTATCTCTACGGAACCAAGTGCACTGTCTTCACCGTCCATAAGAGCATGCAACACATTTTTGATCAGAAGGAATTGAACACGAGGCAATGACGATGGGTGGAGCTACTCAATGATTATGAGTGTGAAATACGCTATCATCTAGGAAAGTGCAATGTGGTAGCAGACGCCCTCAGCCGGAAAGAATACTCAGGTCTCAGAGTAAAGGAACTTACTATGACTATCCATTCCCATCTATCCGCCCAGATCAGAGAAGCTCAACTGGAAGCCTTAAAACCAGAGAACATATCGGATGAAGCTTTGTGGGGAATGGAAAAGAACTTAGAGATCAAGGGAGACAGAGTCTATTATTTCATGAACCAGATTTGGAATTCAAAGTTCGGCGGTTATAGAGAGGTTGTCATGAGCGAAGCTCACATGAGTCGATACGCTGTTCACACATGTTCAGTTTTTAGTTTTGATTTCAGGTACTTCCTCTTCAAAGGGAAAGGATCTGGCTTGACTACAACACATCACACATGATTTTTCCGCACTATGGATTCTTGGGATTTCATACTATGATATTATTGTGTTATGAAATATTTTGATTATGGATACACTGGTTTTGATATGAGTAGCACTATGATGTTTTCAGAGCATGTTGTATAATTATTAAATAAAAATGAAAATTTTGGTCGTAAATTTTGGGATGTTACAAGTTGGTATCAGAGCCTTGGTTTGAAAGTTTTTAAAAAGAACAAAGTGTTTTGAGAAAGAACAAAGTGTGTGATGCATGCAATCGGCCGAACTCAAGTAAGTTTTCTCCTAGATACCCATACATGTTTGCTATGATACATGATGTGATTATGAGAACTGCATGCTAGATTAGAGCTAAGGATCTAGGAAGGATGCCTGATCTGCTTATTGTATGAGAACTGCATGCTAGATTAGGGCTAAGGATCTAGGAAAATGCCTTATATGCCTGCAATATGTGCTTATCGAACTATATGATAGTACGGACTAGTCAGTGATGTGATAGCCTGATTAGGATATACTTGGTTTGGGTTACTTGTAACATCTGGAATTTTAGGTATTCTTTTTATTTTGAGTTTTGAAGAGGAACTCGGCGAGTTGGTGCGTAGACTCGCCGAGTAGAGACGCGATTTCTCATCCGGATTAATGATCGGACTCGACGAGTCACATTGGTGGACTCGGCGAGTCAGTGCTGTTTAATGAAACCCTAATTTCTCGGGTTTGGGGTCTATTTAAAGGGCCTTATGGCCGTCATTTGTGTTCACCAGCCCCTAGAGCGAAACCCTAGTGCATTTGAGCGTGTGGAGTGAGAGAAGGAGCCATTATCAACCATTGGAGGTGTTGTTTAGCAAGGAAAAGGAAGTATTAGCCAAGAGGAAGTAAGAGGAACAACTTCCTGAAGATTTGAGGTCCAGAACATCACATTTGAGGTACCATTTTCGAACCCTTTTCTGTTGAGGTGATGTTCATGTTGATTTAGGGTTTATTGAGCCCTTTTGTGGCTAGATCTAGTGCCCATTTGGTCCCTTAAACGAGTTAGGTTCTGGATCTGGACCCTTGTAGGTCCAGAGTGTCCCTTTGTCCAAGCTTTTTATGAATCCATGGAGGTTTTGGTTTGGATCTTTGTGTTTGAGGTCAAAACACCATTTATGAGACATTAGGTGTGATATGAACGCCAAGACATGAACTTTACGTGATAAATAAGCTTGGAAGGACTGGATTTATGAGTTAGTGGAACAGATCTGACCTCAAAAGGTCGTTTGGGGTTGTGCATGGAATGCACTCGTCGAGTCTATTGGCAGACTCGACGAGTTGGTGCGGGTTGTTCATAGATTTCGAACCAGGGGTTGAGTAACCGAGTTGGGTGAGTGACTCGGTGAGTCGGAAGGGACTCAGAGGAAATGGGGTCCTCGTAGGGACTCGGCGAGTCCATGCCAGACTCGGCGAGTCGGGGTTGACCATTGACCATTGACCAGAGTTGACCGATGTTGACTTGATAGAGTTAGTCAACCTTAATTAGGAAGTGTTAATTAGAGATGTATTGTGTTATAGGAGGACTATAGCTCGGGAGATCGAGCACTAGTGATTTCAGGGATTCACGAGTTACCGAGATACGTGAGGTGAGTCTTCTCACTATACTTTACCTTGAGTAGGTAACCAGTGTTATGTGACAGAGTATTTGTATGATATGTATGTTATGTGTTGTATTGCATTATTTCTATGTGATTTATGTTGTGCATGTTTATAGAGTTAGAACCGGAAGGTTCCCGGAGTTAGAACTTGAGGGTTCACAGAGCTGGGTGCACGGACCCACAGAGTTATAGCCTCGAGTGGCTAATATGTGTTATATGTGGTATTTTGGGGAACTCACTAAGCTTCGTGCTTACAGTGTTTTGTGTTATGTGTTTCAGGTTTCTCTCAGGATCACGGTACGGCACCAGCTTGATTGTACACACCAGTGAAAGAGTCATATTTCGAGGATCCTGGTTTATTATGCAAGTGAAAATGGAGTTATGTTTTGTAATTTGATCAGGAATGATATTTTAAGAAAAGTGTTTTTAAGAATTAAACCATTATATTTAAATGAAAAATTGTTTGAAATTTACAGCGTTACATTACTCAATGACCAAATGCTGCTTACTTTGTGCTTTTGGGAGTTCTAGTTATCTTTAACTAACTAGTAAACGAATATGTTAAGTTACATATTACGAGGACTGAATAATTTCAGAAGGTTAGGTTTAGCCCTACAACCCTACTTCACAGCTCTCGTTTGAGTCTAACCGTTGTAGGGAGAGACCTCTTATTCGAAGGATTATTTGGTCTTAGTAATATGTAATAGTATTCGCGAGCTAGTTAGGGAAAGCTAGCAGGGATTTCTTATGAAGCTGATGACGGAGAGTGGGTCGGAGATTACCCTAGGGTAAGCCTAGGTTGAGATTAGCACATAGAACAATATTAGTGAAAGGGACTTGGTGAAGTCAAGGAAGTCCTTGAGGAAAGTATGAATAGATGTGTAAGGTAGTATTAGCCAGTACTACTGAAAGCAGAGGATCCATACTCGAGTCAAGGAGGGCTGAAAAAGAACCAAGTAACTTGTAGAGTGTGTGAGACCTCTCGAGGTTATGTAAGACCCTGACGATTATGTGTTTTCTTTCAAAATGGTGGTGATACGTCACAGAGTAGGAGGTTCAGGGTCTGGATCAGGTTCAGGTTCATGTTCGGGCACGGGTTCCGAGCTGACTGATGATGGATTATGCGAGTTCATCGCATCGAAGATTACGAGAGGCATACTTGAGGCGACTCAGGTGATTTTCGGGTCGATCAAGGAAGGGAGCATTTAGCTGATGGAGGATCACCTTAGGGCATTCCGGAGTGACATGACATCTATCCAGTCAGGGACACACACTCTCCTTCAAGGACTTTGGGGATGTGGTGCACCAGACTGTCAAGGGGTGAATGACCCCATTGTGGCCAGGAGATGGATTGCAGACATCGAGTCTACACAGTTGACAAGCTTCTGTCCTGACGGATCGAAGGTCTGATATGATGCGGGGTATTTGAGAGATAAAGTTAGAGACCGGTGGGAGGCAATTAATGATTCCTTGGGAGCTCCAACCATTGAGGCTATGACCTGGTCGGACTTTGTGACCAAATTTCAAGATGAGTTCGCACCAACTTTGGAGATTCAACAATTAGCCAGGGAGTTTCTTGATATGAGGTAGACAGTGGTGGAGATTGCCGCCAAGTTCAGAGAGAGGTCCGTACTGGTGTACTGTACAATGAATAAGCTGAAAGAGGAAATGTTAGAAAAAAAAAACTAAATGACCAAATATTTAGAAATCTACCCTAATAAATGAAAATATTATTGCCACTTGTCATTCTCTCATTTATTTGGCCACATGTCATTTTATAAATTTTATGAATTATTTAATATCCACTTGTCATTTTTATAGATTTTTTAACTTTTAGTCAAATTCCACCTATTAAATATCATCTCATATTAATTAATTTTATTAATATATTAATTAATGTACATAATAACTTTCTATTTGTGAATTCCTCTTCCTATTAATATATTAATTAATGTATAATTAACTAATGTAGATAATATCTTTCATTTGTGAATTCATATTAAATAAGTTTATTAGTATAGATTAATTAAGATTAAATTACATAAATGGCCCATGTGATTTACTAAATATCACAAACTCAGTTGTTACTTATTTTATTATAAACATAATCCTTGTGGTTACGAAAACTTACATGAATGGTCTTTTTTTTTCCTCACACCTTTTACTTTTGGACTTTTTAATAAACCCGTGTAATACACGGGTCACACACCTAGTAATAAAAATATATTAAGTTTTTAAGTTATTATTCCTAAATTAAATTTAAAATTAAAAAAAAATGTCGGACTAGACATCCATTTAACGGTTGTATTGTGCAATGACATCATCTACAAGTTTCGCCACTGTCAATCCCTATTGAAAAATAGATCGTTGTTGCACTACCGGACGTGAAACCGGAGGAAGCATCTTCCCAATCAGCATATAGTCAAGCCTACCGGAATAAACAATTAGCAAGTAGCAAACAAAAAGCTTAAAGAATGGCGTCTCTTTCACTTTCGATTTCACCAAACCCTGACCACTTAATCGACGGTATCTTCGTCTCCCCTCGGAGGCAGTTGCTCCGTCGTGTTGCTATCAATTCAAGTCCCTCCGGCTTCAATTTTCTCGCAAAATTAACGTCAGCTGAGAAAAATAGGAGAAACAAAGTAGCCGCCGTCCGAATGTCGTCAATATCTCCTGCTTCGCACTCGTATGACGTCGTCGTAGTTGGCGCTGGAATAATTGGATTGAGTATCGCCCGGCAGCTTCTCATTGGTTCGCATTTGTCCGTCGCCGTGGTTGACGCCGCCGTACCTTGTTCCGGCGCTACTGGTGCAGGTGCATTAACTGATTAACCCCTCCGTGATCTGTTAGTCTAGTTTATATCGTTTTAAGCACTGTTGATTATATACATCCGTTTGCTGCTTTCTGTTACTGTTATGGCTAGTGTCACTGTTCAATAAATACCAATCGATCACTTGAACTTGGTTTACTTATTACAGTCCACTTAATGAGCTTAGATTGAGTTTAATTTCAAAGAAATAAAGCATGATCTGATAACAGTTTAAAATTCATCGTCATATAATCATAGCAATCCTAATTCCTAAACATTAACAGATTATGAAGAAACGAACTAGAGTGCAATTACCTCGATTATAGCTTATACTAACATCTCAGCATCAAAGAGTTAATTGATTCCAAAAGCTTCTATGCAAATTTGATGCCACTTTCACAGTTTCACTCCAATCCCACTGTTGTTTCATATTGGATTTAAATAACCAGTAACGATGGTGATGAACTTAGGTTGCTATCTGCTAAAGCATTTACAATACTTAGGAAGGGACCTTATAAGAAGAAAAAGACTACTTTTAATTTATGTGCTTGTGGAAATAACAACATTCACCATAATTTTTCTTCCTAAACCATGATTCATATTATGATCTCATCACCATTCTAATTGACATTTGAATTTGTTTTAGGACAGGGCTATATATGGATGGTGCATAAGGTTCCAGGAAGTGAGAAATGGGAGCTAGCAATGAGAAGTCGTGAACTATGGGAGAAGTTTGCAGAGGATATAAAGTATCAAGGAATTGATCCTCAAGAAGTTCTTGGCTGGAAGAAGACAGGTACACTAACCCAAACACTCCCCTATCTTCTCATTTTCAAAGGGTATATAAGACATTTGACAAACTGTCAAACCCGAACACTTCCCCTGTATATTAACTCAATAGTAATAGATTGTTAAAAACACAAACAGGAAGCTTGTTGGTTGGTAAAACCTCAGATGAAATGTCAGTATTGAAAGAGAAGGTAGATAAGCTATCTAAAGCTGGACTCAATGCAGAGCTCTTGTCTTCCATTGATTTGAAGGAAATAGAACCAGTGCTTGTAGTTGGAGAAGAAGGTGGGGCCGCTTTTCTACCCAATGATTACCAACTTGATGCTCGGCGTTCAGTTGCATATATAGAAAAGGTAAGCATCACTTCTTGACAGAGGGTAAATTGGTCATTAACTCATTTCTTTTATTCAAACAATTCATTCAGTCCAAAAAAGAAACAAAACATTTTAAGTTAACTGTTCCTCAACAAATGTATAATACAATTCAATTACTAAAAGAATCACTGAAAATATCACACAGGAGAACAGAAAGTATGCAAGTGAAGGAAGATATGGGGAATATTACAATCAGCCAGTAACTGGTTTATTAAGGTAACACACTATATATTTTACTGAAGACAACTTACAAAGCTCATTTTTTTGAAGGGGTAAAGATGTCTTTTTTATAGACGATTCATCTTTTTAGGTCTGGCACTGGGGAGGTTGAAGCTGTTCAGACTCCAAAATATTCATTGTATAGCAAGAAAGCCATAGTAATTTCCACTGGATGCTGGACAGGGTCTTTGATGCAAGACCTCATAAGGGATTCAGATATTAAATTAAATATCCCTATAAAGCCTCGAAAGGTCCACTTTCTTTTTTTTTTTTATAAAAATTTGATCTTTATAACAAGTTATTTGTGTCCATATCAGGGTTTCCAAAATCTTGGAAAAGTAAATAACACTCAAGTTGAAAGATTGAATTAATCGATTTTTTTTGGGTTAACAGGGTCATCTATTGGTGATAGAGAATTTTAATTCCTTTAAATTAAACCATGGTTTAATGGAGGTAGGATACATTGGTCATCAAGATGCAATTTTGCAACCTAATAATCTTGATTCTGGAGCTGAAACTTCTTCATCCGTTTCAATGACTGCAACAATGGATACACTTGGAAATCTTGTTCTTGGTAAGGCATTGTAAATGCAAGAAATAGCAACATACTTTTTTTTTATTATTTATTTATTTATTTTTCATATCAAGGCATTTTACTTTAAAAATTCTACCTAATATAACATCATACTTGAGTAGATTTTTCAAAGTATAATGCTGTGATATAAAGTAACGAAAGGAGGATGCTATAATAAACAAATCACCTTTTTGATTATAGTTTTGTTGTTTGCAGGAAGCAGCCGACAATTTGTTGGATTTAATACGGAAATAAATGAAGAAATTATCAATAAAATATGGGAACGTGCCAAAGAGTTCTTTCCTTGTTTAAGAGAATTATCACTAAAAGATTTGGAGAAAAACAGAGAAGTCAGAGTTGGGTTAAGACCCTATAGTAAGCATAATAACAATAACGTATTAAAATTCTTAAATTTGATTTAAATATATTTTATTATTGGTTTCAGTGCCAGATGGCAAGCCTATGATTGGGCCTGTTCCCGGATTGTCAAATGTATTCCTTGCTGCAGGACATGAGGGAGAAGGATTGACTCTGGTATTTTAATTCATTTTATATTTTAATAGACTATTTTTTTATGATGTGTTATTTAGATATAATGATTAATGAAACTTATGTTTTTGGTTGTTAATTACAGGCGCTTGGAACTGCTGAAATGGTTGCTGATATGGTTTTGGGTAATCCTAGCAAAGTTGATAATGCACCATATGCATTACATGCTCATAGTTCTTGATAGCAGGTGATATCTTGTTAATGGGTGTGAGTTAAATGTAATAAATATTAAATAGCAATGTAATTTTGTTGATTTGTTTATTATACTGAATTCTAGTTTCACTTCTTCCTATTACAAGAGCTGATGTCCAAAGGAGACTTTTACTTGATATTGAATGACAAAACTACAAGGTAAGAAAAGGGATACTGATAAGAACAAGGTTAATAAGAATAGAGGTAGGCTAGCTTTTTATTAGAAATGGCCCGATTCAAGAGGGGCAAGGTCTCCAATTACAGTAAAAGATAAATATGAGAAATATATGATAATCAACTGATAAGCAAACCTATTATTTATAATACCCTATTCTTAATATTAAATATGGTAGCTGCTAAGGTTACGTATGGTAATTGCTCCCCACTTCCTTTGATAACCACCCCTTGATTTGGGTAACTCCAGCCAATTGCCATTTAATTGATTTGGCCTAGTGGATTCAGCCAATTCCCAAAAATAGAATTTAATTGCCCCATATTGGCAGTTATCATACGATTCTTTTTCCTGGAATATACCTTTAGTGGATTTTTATCATTACTTCCCTCCCGGTAAAACGCCTTGTCCTCAAGGCGGAAAGTAGGGAATTGCTCCTTTATCAAATCATAAGTTTCCCATGTGGACTCCTCGATAGGGGCGGTTACACCAAGAAACCAATAGTTCTAAGTTTGGGTGGCCGGCTTCACGAACCCAACGATGAGTGATGACAGAACTTGGTTGCCAGTCAATTTCCCAGTCTTTGGTGATGGGTAAAGGTGCAGCTGGGACCGAAGAAAAGGAGACATGAGCCGGTTTAAGCATCGAAACGTGAAAGACCGGGTGAACTCTAGCTTCGAGTGGTAGTTCCAGCTCATAAGCAATTGGAACTACTGTACGTTTAATACAATATGGGCCAAAAAACCTTGGAGAAAGCTTCTCGTATTGGCGCTTGCCCAAACTTTTTTGATGGTAGGGCTGAATCTTCAAGAAAGCATAATCACCAACCTGAAACGTGAGTTCCCGTCGCTTCAAATTAGCTTGGTTTTTCATCCGGTCTTGGGCCTTTTGGAGGTTTTGTTGTAGGAGCTTCAACATATCATCCCTATCAAGTAATTGATGTTCCAGTTCTGCATTTTTGGTTTCCCCTGTAACATAAGGAAATAAAGAGGTTCCCTGCCGTAAACAACAGTAAATGGTGTTGTACCAGTGGATGTATGGTAACCAGTGTTATAAGAATATTCAGCCCATGGTATGAAAGTACTCCATTTGGTTGGTTGTTCACTAGCAAAGCAACGTAGATAGGTTTCTAAACAACGATTTAAGACTTCCGTTTAACCGTCCGTTTGAGGATGGTAAGTTGTGCTCAATTTCAATTTGGTTTGACTTAATTGGAACAATTCTTTCCAAAAGTTGCTAAGAAAAACCACGTATCGGTCACAGACGATAGAGCGAGGAAAACCATGTAATCGGATAATCTCTTTGCAAAATATCGTTGCTACCCCTTTAGCCGTGAATGGATGAGATAAACAAAGAAAGTGAGCATATTTGCTTAGGCAATCCACCACAACTAAGATAGTATCGAAACGGGTTGATGGGAGTAAACCGACGATAAAATCAATAGAAATATCCTCCCAAACTTGGCTTGGAATAGGCAAGGGCTGAAGCAAACCGGCGGGGGACAGAGTTTGGTATTTATGTTGTTGACATATGACACATTGCTGCACAAAAACCCTTACATCCTGTTTCATCTTTAGCCAATAATAACGAGAGCACAATCGTTTATAGGTTTTTAAAAAACCTCCATGGCCACCAAGTGGAGTATCATGTGCTTCCTGTAATAGTTTTAGTTTGAGGGAAGATACTTCAGGTATTACCAAACGCCCTTGATAAAACAAAAACTGATTTGCAAGAGAAAAGTCAGTGAGTGATGAAGGATCTTCATGTAGTTTGCTAATCAAGTCTCTTGTAAATGGGTCGGTTTGATACCTTGCTTTGATTTTAGCCACCTCAACACAATAAGGCATAATTAATGTCAACAATTCTCCTGAATGAGGTCGTCGAGATAGAGAATCAGCTCCCTTGTTCTCTTTTCCTGCTTTGTGAATAATCGAGAAATCATAAGGCATCAATTTAAGTAGCAACCTTTGCTGCTCAGTAGTGGTAATTCGCTGTTCTAACAAAAATTTCAGGGTATAATGATCGGTACGGATTAAAAAATGACAACCAAGCAGGTAATGACTCTATTTTTGTACCGCTAGTACTAACGTCAACAACTCTCTGTCATAATCTGATTTAAATCGGTTAGATGGAGAGAGCCCCTTGCTGAAATAGGCCACATGATGGTCTTGCTGTGATAATATTGCTCCCACACCATCCGATGAAGCACCACATTCTATGACAAAAAGGTTTTGAAAAATCGGGTAACCGAAGGACTGGAGTGGATAACGAAGCCTTTTTTTAAGTCATTAAAGGCTTTAAGGGCCTCTTCTGACCAGAGAAATCCATCTTTCTTGGTTAATGCAGTGAGGGGACGGGCTATGACACCACAATTACGAACAAAGCGTCTGTACTACCCTGATAATCCAAGAAAACCTCTCACTTCCTTGACTATCGATGGTATGGGCCATGATTTAACTGCTGATATCTTTTCTTCTTCCACACTAACTCCTTTCGAGCTGATCACATGCCCAAGGAACACCACCTGTTCTTGCCCAAAGCAACATTTCGATAGTTTGGCAAAAAATTGGTTGTTATGAAGTAATTTTAAGGCTTGTTCCAAATGGAATTTGTGTTGTTCCATATTTGGACTATAAACTAAAATATCATCAAAGAACATAAGTATGAAACGTCGCAAGTATGGACGGAATAAATCATTCATGATAGCCTGAAATGTGGAAGGAGCATTAGTTAGGCCAAAAGGCATGACCTTGAATTCATAATGACCCGAGTGAGTGCGAAAGGCTGTTTTTTCGATATCTGGGGCTGCCACTCTAATTTGATAATAACCCGATTGCAAATCGAGTTTTGCGAACACTATAGCACCATGCAGCTCATCGAGTAATTCGTCAATATTGGGAATCAGATATTTGTCGGCTATAGTTATCTTGTTGAGGGCTCGGTAATCGATGCACATCCACCAAGAATTATCTTTCTTCTTCACTAGTAGTACAAGGCTTGAAAAAGGGTTGGTGCTTGGTTGAATAAAACCAGCGACCATCAACTGTTCTACTTGTTTTTCTATCTCATTTTTTTGGGAGTAGGGATAACGGTAAGGACGGATGTTAGGTGGAGTGGAGTTTGGCACAAATGGGATTGAATGGTTTTGTGATCGAATCGGGGGTAGATGTTGAGGCTCTTTAAAGATGGTGGTGGATTGGTTGACAACAGGTTGCAATGGGAGGGGTATACAAGGGGTAGTTTCTGGTTCAATGGCTAGGTGTTGGAAACTGGATGACTTTTGAGGGCTGGATGAAATGCCTTGTAGCTTATATCGCTTTCCATCTATTGAAAAAATCATGAATAATTCCTTCCAGTTAGCTTGAACCGTATTTAACATAGCTAACCATTGAACACCCAAAACTAGACCAGCTCCACCAAGAGAGAAAGGATGAAAATCCTGAGTGATCTTGAGGTCATTAATCCGTACAGAAAGATTTTTGCAGATTTGACCACATCGAATTAGGTCTCCGTTACTGATTTGAACACCAAAAGATGTTACCGGTTGAGTCGCCAACTTAAGTTCATTCACCAAGACATCTGATATAAAATTGTGTGTAGATCCGCCATCTATTAAAATTAAAACCTCTGTAGAATGAAGCATACCATGGATTTTCATTGTGGTAGGTTGCGATTTTCCCAGAACAGCATGTAAGATAATTTCAACAGTCTCATGTTGGTCAGAATCAAGATCAATTAGATCCATTGTTGGAGATTCTTCAACGACTTCATCAGCTTCTAAAACCTTTAGGGTACCGGTTTTGCAACGATGACCCGGTCCATATTTTTCGCCACATCTAAAGCATTCCCCTTTTAGAAATTGATTTTGCTTCTCTTTTTCGGAAATTCATGAAACATTTCTTGATTGGTTTGATGTCTGGGCTGGGATAAAAGAGGTCGGTTTAGGATCTGATTGTGAGAGTTTCGAATTTGGGGTTCCCGAGACATTTTTCCCAGATCGATGATAGGTGAGTTTAGATTCGAATTCTAAATCCAGGCTTATGGCACTATATACCGTACGGGGTTTGTGAATTCGTACATCTGATTTTAGTTCATCATTTAGGCCATTTAGGAATACTCTTAAAAGGCAGTGATCTGGCCAATTTGAAACCCGAGAGGTTCTCTTAGCGAACTCCTGTCGATACTCTGCTACTGTACCAGTTTGTTTAATGCTGCATAGGAACTCACTAGGGTTCTAAAACTCGTCAGGGCCAAAATTTCTTGTAAACACTTGGACCAATTCTTCCCAGAAAGTGATCAGACGATCATCGGATAGCCATGAATAGAGGTCCAAGGCATCTCCTTCTAAGTGCATTGAAGCTATCTCCACCTTTTCTTCATCCGAGATCTGATAGTACCTGAAGTATTTTTCAGCTTTCAGCAGCCATCCACTTGGGTCTCCACAACTAAAAGTTGGGAAATCAATTTAGTTGTAGGGTTTATGTGGCATTCAACCCATCCAACTACTTTCCCCCTCTTCGTTTTTGCTCCCGCTGGACCGTTCCCTCTTTTTCAGGGCTGCTATATCTTCCTTCATTGTTTTAGTTGACTCCAGCTTTGCTGCTATGGCAGCCAATTGAGTGGTAATGGGATCGGGTGGGTTGTTGTCGCTATACCGGGTTTGCACCATGTTGTTTCCCGGTAATGGAACCAAATGATAAGAACAGGGTTAATAAGAATAGAGGTAGGCTAGCTTTTTATTAGAAATGACCCGATTCGAGAGGGGCAAGGTCTCCAATTGCAGGAAAAGATAAATATGAGAAATATATGATAATCAACTGATAAGCAAACCTATTATTTATAATACCCTATTCTTAATATTAAATATGGTAGCTGCTAAAGTTACGTATGGTAATTGCTCCCCACTTCCTTTGATAACCACCCCTTGATTTGGGTAACTCCAGCCAATTGCCA